CTTCCTCCTCCTCCTCCTCCTCTCTTACTTCTTCTTCGCTTTCCCCGCCTGTAAATTTATGGGTATTTATCCATCTCAGACTTTAGTCTTGTTTCAGAATCTGAAATTTTGCGTGCACACTTGTTTCACAGATCTGGCTTTTTTGAACGTACACTCTTGGTCCCTTGCCAGTCAGGCAGATATACTCGGACTTGGAAGGATGCCCCTTGTTTGTCGACTCCTTCGACATGCTTGTTGGGAAGGCATCGAGTCTAATCTGGTCTTTCCTACAAGGAACACCCAGAGCTTGCACCAGGAAAATCGCTTTCCCCGATCCTAAATGGACAGGTGATGATTGCTGTGATAATACTGATAATAAAATTTATACACATTACCAAAAAAAAAAATTGCCACGATGCACGTGCCAACATGAATAATGCAAGATGGTAGAAAGGATAATTCGACCCTGACATATAGAAATAGGGGTTTTTATTTTTCCCTCTTGGAAAATCCTTCGTTTTCATCGTCATCATCACGTTTAATATCGCTGTTATTATCATTCGTTAACGTCGTCGTTAACACTACCTTTATGAAAGGCGTTATCTTCATTATTTTTATGGTCATCGATACATGATACTGGTTGTCGTTTTGTCATCATCATTTTTAAAGACTTTGAAATCATCTTGGGTGTCTCTTCTATCATCTTCAACGTCGTCATTATCTTAAACTTTCGTCATCATCGTCATCTTCAACGTCGTCATCATCGTCATCTTCAACGTCGTCATCATGGTCATCTTCAATGTCGTCGTCACAGTTATCTCTAACGTCATCATCGTCTTTAGTATCATCATCTTCAACGTCATCATCATCGTAATTATCATTTTCGTTACCATTAGGTTTAGTATCGTTACTATCACCAGCTTCAATGATGTCTTGAACCTCCCTAACTTTGTTGCCATCATCCTCAACATCGCCATCATCTTCAACAACATCATCATCATCATCTGCTTTAGCGTCATTATCATCTTCAATGTTATTATCATTTTCTACAAAAACGTCGTCATCATCGTCATCGCCTACAACACCGTCACCATCATCTTCAAGGTCCTCATCGTCATCATCATCATCGCCTACAACACAGTCACCATCATCTTCAAGGTCCTCATCGTCATCATCATCATCGCCTACAACACCGTCACCATCATCTTCAATGTCCTCATCATCATTGCCTACAACACCGTCACCATCATCTTCAAGGTCCTCATCATCATCGCCTACAACACCGTCACCATCATCTTCAATGTCCTCATCGTCATCGCCTACAACACCGTCACCATCATCTTCAATGTCCTCATCATCATTGCCTACAACACCGTCACCATCATCTTCAATGTCCTCATCGTCATCGCCTACAACACCGTCACCATCATCTTCAATGTCCTCATCACCATTGCCTTCACCGTCGACACCACAATCCTCTTCAGAGTCACCATTGTCATCTTCAAAGTCATCGCTATTATTTACAACTCCGTCACCATCATCTTCAATGTCCTCATCATCATTGCCTACAACACCGTCACCATCATTTTCAATGTCCTCATCATCATTGCCTACAACACCGTCACCATCATCTTCAATGTCCTCATCATCATTGCCTACAACACCGTCACCATCATCTTCAATGTCCTCATTATCATTGCCTACAACACCGTCAGCATCATCTTCAATGTCCTCATCATCATTGCCTACAACACCGTCACCATCATTTTCAATGTCCTCATTATCATTGCCTACAACACCGTCACCATCATTTTCAATGTCCTCATTATCATTGCCTACAACACCGTCAGCATCATCTTCAATGTCCTCATCATCATTGCCTACAACACCGTCACCATCATTTTCAATGTCCTCATCATCATTGCCTACAACACCGTCACCATCATCTTCAAGGTCCTCATCATCATTGCCTTCACCGTCATTATCATCTTCAAAGTCATTGCTATTATTTACAACTCCGTCACCATCATCTTCAATGTCCTCATCATCATTGCCTACAACACCGTCACCATCATCTTCAATGTCCTCATCATCATTGACTACAACACCGTCACCATCATCTTCAATGTCCTCATCATCATTGACTACAACACCGTCACCATCATCTTCAATGTCCTCATCATCATTGCCTACAACACCGTCACCATCATCTTCAATGTCCTCATCATCATTGCCTTCACCGTCGACACCACAATCCTCTTCAGAGTCACCATTGTCATCTTCAAAGTCATCGCTATTATTTACAACTCCGTCACCATCATCTTCAATGTCCTCATCATCATTGCCTACAACACCGTCACCATCATCTTCAAGGTCCTCATCATCATTGCCTTCACCGTCGACACCACAATCCTCTTCAGAGTCACCATTGTCATCTTCAAAGTCATCGCTATTATCTACAACTCCGTCACCAACCCAATATCGTCATTGTTATATAAGCATCAAAGTCGTCATCATCTTTAAATCGAAATAACCACAGCTCAATCTAGGAGCCGGTTAAAAGAAGCGATAATTTTTTTTTTTTTTATACCTACACCAAGACCAATACTAATCATCTTCAACAACATAATCATCCTTATCAGCGTCATTATTATTATTTTCAAAATTATCATTTTCAACGGCATCACCATTACCTACAACGCCGTCACAATCATCTTCCACGTCGACGTCATCATTGTCTTCAACGTCGTTACCATCATCTTCAAGTCGTCATCATTATTATTGTCTTCAACATCGGCATCATCATCATTGTCTTCAACGTCGTCATTATTATTGTCTTCAACGTCGGCATCATCAACATTGTCTTCAACGTCTTCATCATTATCATTATCTTCAACGTCATTATTATTGTCTTCAACTTCATTATGATTGTACTCATCGTCATTATCATTGCCATCAACGTCATCATCATTGTCGTCAACGTCATTATCATTGCCGTCAACGTCATTATCATTGTCTTCAAAGTCATTATCATTGTCTTCAGCGTCATTATCATTGTCTTCGATGTCGTTATCATCATTTTCAAGTTGTCATCGTCATCCTCAAGTCGTTATCATCATCTTCAAGTTGTCGTCGTCATCCTCAAGTCGTTATCATCATCTTCAAGTTGTCATTGTCATCCTCAAGTCGTTATCATCATTTTCAAGTCGTCAACATCATTGTCTTCAACGTCGGCATCACTGTCTTCAGCGTCGTGATGGGGAGAGAGATGAGCTGCCTGTATATGTTATAGGCGGAATTAAGGCGACAGACTGAATCATAGACTGACTGTGAACATTAAAAGAGAAAGAAAGAAAGAAAGAAAGAAAGAAAGATAGACAGAAAGAAAGAAAGAAAGAAAGAAAGACAGACAGACAGACAGACAGACAGACAGACAGACAGACAGACAGACAGACAGACAGACAGACAGACAGACAGACAGACAGACAGACAGACAGACAGACAGACAGACAGACAGACAGACAGACAGACAGACAGACAGACCGACCGACCGACCGACCGACCGACCGACCGACCGACCGACCGACCGACCGACCGACCGACCGACCGACCGACCGACCGACCGACCGACCGACCGACCGACCGACCGACCGACCGACCGACCGACCGACCGACCGACCGAACCGACCGACCGACCGACCGACCGACCGACCGACCGACCGACCGACCGACCGACCGACCGACCGACCGACGACCGACCGACCGACCGACCGACCGACCGACCGACCGACCGACCGACCGACCGACCGACCGACCGACCGACCGACCGACCGACCGACCGACCGACCGACCGACCGACCGACCGACCGACCGACCGACCGACCGACCGACCGACCGACCGACCGACCGACAGACAGACAGACAGACAGACAGACAGACAGACAGACAGACAGACAGACAGACAGACAGACAGACAGACAGACAGACAGACAGACAGAAAGAAAGAAAGAAAGAAAGAAAGAAAGAAAGAAAGAAAGAAAGAAAGAAAGAAAGAAAGAAAGAAAGAAAGAAAGAAAGAAAGAAAGAAAGAAAGAAAGAAAGAAAGAAAGAAAGAAAGAAAAAAAGAAAGAAAGAAAGAAAGAAAGAAAGATAGAAAGAAAAAGAAAGAAAGAAGAAAAAGAAAGAAAAGAAAAGAAAGAAAAAAGAAAAGAAAGAAAGAAAAAAAACAGACAGACAGACAGACAGACAGACAGACAGACAGACAGACAGACAGACAGACAGACAGACAGACAGACAGACAGACAGACAGACAGAAAAAAAGAGAAAGAAGAAAAGAAAGAAAGAAAGAAAGAAAGAAAGAAAGAAAGAAAGAAAGAAAGAAAGAAAGAAAGAAAGAAAGAAAGAAAGAAAGAAAGAAAGGAAGGAAGGAAGGAAGGAAGGAAGGAAGGAAGGAAGGAAGGAAGGAAGGAAGGAAGGAAGGAAGGAAGGAAGGAAGGAAGGTAGGAAGGAAGGAAGGAAGACAGACAGACAGACAGACAGACAGACAGACAGACAGACAGACAGACAGACAGACAGACAGACAGACAGACAGACAGACAGACAGACAGACAGACAGACAGACAGACAGACAGACAGACAGACAGACAGACAGACAGACAGACAGACAGACAGACAGACAGACAGACAGACAGACAGACAGACAGACAGACAGACAGAAAGAAAGAAAGAAAGAAAGAAAGAAAGAAAGAAAGAAAGAAAGAAAGAAAGAAAGAAAGAAAGAAAGAAAGAAAGAAAGAAAGAAAGAAAGAAAGAAAGAAAGAAAGAAAGAAAGAAAGAAAGAAAGAAAGAAAGAAAGAAAAAGAAAGAAAGAAAGAAAGAAAGAAAGAAAGAAAGAAAGAAAGAAAGAAAGAAAGAAAGAAAGAAAGAAAGAAAGAAAGAAAGAAAGAAAGAAAGAAAGAAAGAAAGAAAGAAAGACAGAAAGACAGAAAGACAGAAAGAAAGAGAAAGACAGAAAGCATTACCTGTATATGTAGTGGCCACATACAAGACCGTCCCGATCATGGTGGAAGAACCAGGCGCCAAAAATGCCACCGTGGAAGCTTCTTCTGTGTTGGCGGCAACCGCAAAGTTGTGGATGTCCTTTCCCTCGGGGGATTCGAACACCTTGGAGATGTTGGCCAAGCATCTAGTCTCACACATGCCTTGGTAGACGCTGCCACAGGTGATCAGGCTGCGCCTCTGGCTGTCCACCACCAACACCTGGTGATGATTCAATAGGGCAACAGTGATTGTTATCCAGGAAAAAATACCTGCTGATATTTCTATATATTATGTTAATTAGTAATCAAAACACCACTCACGGGAACAAAATGCCATGCACCTGTTGTGTGGAAAGGACATATCAGGAAGGGAATGAAAGTGAAGGAAGAAATGATTGCAGAAAGGATGAGAGCTGAGCGTCTGAAAAGAAACGGATTAAACACAAATGTTGACAACAATCGTCCTGAAATCCCATGCCATCATTGTGGAAGACTTTTCTTAACACGGGCGGGTCTTGCTAGTCATACTCGCCATCGCATGGGCTGTGAGTCTCATGCCTCCCCATAGCGCAATGTAACACTGTCGTCTGGAAAGAAGAAAAGGTACCAGTCGAGAATCAAAACACCCCATGTGGACTCCGGAGCTACAATTTAAAGAAAGGGAGAAAGGGGTGGGACGGGGGTAGAGTATGGAACATTTGAGTCTCTGCCTTCTTAACGAGGTTTTCGTAAAAGTCAACTTTTTTCCTAGCGTTCACAGGCTGCAATCTCCGGTGGAAAGTTCTGGTTGTTCGTCCATTTCTCGACTTCAGTCTTGTTCCAGAACTTGGGTTTTACGTGTGCCTTTATTTTACAGATCTATCTTATTTGAATGCAAACTGTTGCTTCCTTGACTCTCATGCAGATGCACTCTGACTTTTAGAGAAACATCCCTAATTAGTTGTATCCTACGACATGCTTGTTAGGGAGCAGTGGGTCTATTTTTTGTTCCCTATAATAGAGCAATAAAACCCAAACAGGGTGAAGGGTCGACTAATTATGTTTCCTTTAGTGTAAAGTGCTTCTGCCAAAGAGTCTAGGAACCAACAGTCTGCATACGCATAAGCCAGATTTGTAAGATGGATGTGTAAGCGAAACTCAAGTCTGGAATGAAGTCCAGAAGTGGACGAAATAGCCATAACTGTCCGCTGGAATTTACAGCCGGTCAGCCAAACAAACAAAAAGTTGTTATGGAAATGTATCCAATTGTTGTCTTTATGAAAAAATATATTAATTAGTAATTCAGACACTATCGGTCGTCTTTTCAAAGCACGGGTTCGCAACCCCATGGTTTGGAACCCCATTTAGGGTCACCAAGGATTTATGTGGGATCGCCGAGCAATGAAAAATGGGAAATTATATAAAAGCAGATGCTAAATTCAGCTCTATAGCTTATCAGGAAATGTGCAGAAATCGGCAGCAAAAACCCAACCGGAGAAACAAACAGCGGACTGAAAAAAAAAACTTATTTAAAAAAAAAAACACAACTGGCATGATATATTGTGGTTTACAGCTAGGCTACGATGTCTGCACCTACTGGCCCAACATATCTGATTCCACAATCACTAGCCATCAAGAGAATGTTGAATCTCACCTTGTTGTGATTGTTTGTTGCAGTTCTGTTGACGAAACATACACCCGGTGGGGGGAAACACGCAGGGCTGTCATTTCTAGGTCCGGTCTGAACGTCAATGAGAAGGTTGAGGTCAGAATCCAGCTGATACAAATGGTTCTCACCTGCAGAAAGAAAAAATGTAAGTGTGTATATATATATATATATATATATATATATATATATATATATATATATATATATATATATATATATATATATATATATATATATATATATATATCGATCATTGCGATCATGACTGAAGGCCGCCAACCAAAGATTAATAAATCTAAAACGATTTCACATTTGAGGTTTCCTTTTTCAGCATAATTCATTATGTTTAGTGTCATCTGTGGAATTCCGGCTACATGATATACATACGTTATTTAGTTAGTTAGTTAGTTAGTTAGTTAGTTAGTTAGTTAGTTAGTTAGTTAGCTAGTTAGCTAGTTAGTTAGTTAGTTAGTTAGTTAGTTAGTTAGTTAGTTAGTTAGTTAGTTAGTTAGTTAGTTAGTTAGTTAGTTAGTTAGTTAGTTAGTTAGTTTGTTTGTTTGTTTGTTTGTTTGTTAGTTAGTTAGTTAGTTAGTTGGTTAGTTGGTTAGTTGGTTAGTTAGTTAGTTAGTTAGTTAGTTAGTTAGTTAGTTAGTTAGTTAGTTAGTTAGTTAGTTAGTTAGTTAGTTAGTTAGTTAGTTAGTTAGTTAGTTAGTTGGGATATCATCATTGCACTCCGGACATGTCCATGGGTGCTCAGATCCTTCTCTAAGTATGAACCCCAACGTCCTGTGACTACAAGTGCTAGTTCTTTGTTGACTGTTAAGTCTTTTTGTATGCCTGGTGTGTTTCTCGCTTTTGGCTATGCCGATCTTAACTCCCGAGTCTTATTCTGGTGAGCGATGTGGAATTGCAGTATATATACAGGTGTTTCATCTGTTTCCATACAAAAAAAAATAATTTTTAAAGAAAATCTTTTTTCTTTAAATCAGAGAAAAGTATTAGAATAGCTGCAGTTTTGAGTGTAATGGCATTGGTGGTTTGTGTATGTTTCCTATGTATCAAAACTGTTGGGACTCTGTACATTGGTCTAAAACAGCTGCTGCTTTCCTTGATTCTATCTTAGTGGATAGCAGGTTTCTATTCTACATGCCATAACTCTAAAGTGGTTTGTAAATTCCTTTACCCTAACTCATAGTTTATTTCTATCTTAGTTTACAACAGGTTTCTATACTCTCCGTCTTATCTCTATAGTGGTTTCTAAATTCGTTTACCCTAACTCATAGTTTATTTCTATCTTAGTTTACAACATTTTTCTATACTCTCCGTCATATTTCTATAGTGGTTTCTAAATTCGTTTACCCTAACTCATAGTTTGTTTCTGTTCCAAGGTAATTCGTCCCAGATATAACTATTCATTTTTTAAACCCCAACTGATCATTCATTTATTTCCTAATTGACAATTTTAGTGACCATACATGCGTTTATATTTCTTTCCTTACTGAGAGTCCTGACAATTTTTTACAGCCTAGATTTCATTTCATCTCTACATCAACTGATTCCTTTGAATAACTATATCACACTTAATGCTGCTGCTGTTCTTCCTAGCTGAACATAACGCAGTTTATATTCAAATTATAATTTTAAAAAAGCCACATTGGATCATAGCAAAAACGCCTCCTACTTCTTCTTCTGCTTCCTCTTCTTCTTTTTCTTCTTCTTCTTCTTCTTCTTCTTCTTCTTCTTCTTCTTCTTCTTCTTCTTCTTCTTCTTCTTCTTCTTCTTCTTCTTCTTCTTCTTCCTCTTCTTCTTCTTCGTCTTCTTCTTCGTCTTCTTCTTCTTCTTTTTCTTCTTCTATTTATTCTTCTTCTTCTTCTTCTTCTTCTTCTTCTTCTTCTTCTTCTTCTTCTTCTTCTTCTTCTTCTTTTTCTACTACTAAGTCCTTAGGCCATCCAACAGAGGGCCACAAATACAGATTCTCTAGTCCGTAAATGTTGGTCATCTTCGCCCACAACGATGATATCTAAATGCAACAATTGGCCACGACACAACCAGTTGAACTGCTGAAAGAAGGAGATCCCAGCACTTTGTCTACTGATAAGATAGGTCTCAGCAGAATCTAATTTACTTATGGGGAAACTCGCCGCTGAACGGCCCAGCTTCTGGGGCTGTGTTGTGTCAAAAGACATTACTGTCCAGACAGTCTCCAAGCGAAAGCTAATTGTAGATCAGGGAATGGTAGATGGCATGACTCGGGACTGCGTCAGTATTTCGCTGTGTGTGCCCTTAGGGTTTTTCTTTAATCTTCCCTAAGTCAGGAAAATGTAATGCATCTAATAACATTTGGAACGACTAAGCTTTAGAGGGTAAGCGGAAAAGGGGGGGGGGGGGGGGGGCAGGCAGATTGCGAGTCAGAATATGTAGGCATACAATAAGATACATATAACGACAACTTTAGACGTTGAGAAATGTTGACGTGTGGGCTGTTTGATAGAGAAACATTTCGAAAGAACGAACGAATGAACAAACATACATAATGTTTTTTCGTATTCTCAAAAGGGTCAAGAATTGGGCTTGCAGACCCTTCTAATATTCTGCCCTTAAAGCCCTCCTTTCATGAGTCACTGTTTTTCTAAAGAAAGGGAAGGATATATGTAAAAGGACAGAGAAAGAAACGGTTAATATATATAATATTTGTATAAATATGTGTCTGTATGTGTGTGTGTATGTGTGTGTGTGTGTGTGTGTGTGTGTGTGTGTGTAATACTTTTCGTTCAGTTTTTATCTCTTCTCGTGTGTGAATACATGCACATTCAAATGTTTCATGCCACCTTGTAAATAACTGACGTTAGCCTACTGTTACGGAGTATTGTATCCACTGCTAGTTTAGGCCCACTTAAAATCGTAATTCAAATGTGTGCCAGGTACGATCCCAGCTGCGAAACTTTTGGCAGCAGACAGCCTAGCGTTGATGTCAGCTGTTTAGGGCAGTGACACAACTACTGAACGTAAACTTACCTAGTGCAATCATAAACAGCCAAACAATGCTGGGGGTTGGTTTAGCAAAGTCTTGTAAATGGCGTGCAACTAACTGTCGACAAGAAACACTTGTTTCTCTCTCTCTCTCTCTCTCTCTCTCTCTCTCTTCTCTCTCTTTCTCTCTCTCTCTCTCTCTCTCTCTCTCTCTCTCTATTTCGCTCTGGCTGTCTCTCTTCGCTTTCTCTTCCTCTCTCTTCTGCTTGTCTTATATCTCTTTCTCGTCTCTCTCTCTTTTTCTTTTTTCTCTTTCTTCTCTCTTTTTCTCTGTTCTCTCTTTCTTTCTCTCTCTCTCTCTTCTCTCTCCTTTCTATCTTTCTTTATCTTTCTATCTTCTCTCTCTTCTTTCTCTTTCCTTCTTTATATCTTCATCTCCCTTCTCTCTCTTTCTCTTTCGTCTCTTTCTCCCTCTTCTCTCTCTCTTTCTCTGTTTCTCTAATGGCAAACTACTGAACGTAAAATTAGACTCGAAAAAACACAACAGCCAAAACATACTGCGGTTGGTTCTGCAACGTCACGTAAAGGTTACACAACTAACT